TTCAAGCGGCAGTACGCGTCGTTCGCAAAATTATTGTACAAGTCGTGCCTCAGTGCTCGTTCAATATTGTTCGTATTCGTGGATGTGACTCGCTCGACCTCTCCCAATTTGATAATCCTGAGATAAGAAATACTATTACGATAGAGCGCGCGAGCTGTTTTCTCGGGTTCCATGGAGCTTGATCTCAACATAAACTGACTGGCGAGGAAGATATATTATAAGAAATTAAATTAAAGAGATGAGAGTGAAGAGAAATAGATAAAGAACTGCAAGAGAGAATTGTAAATGAACGTTATATTGTCGAAAGAAAAAGGAATTGTAGTTATCGAATAGGAGAGATTTGTGTGTGTCAGCTGAAACTTTATTTATTTAATAGAATTTATAATGTCGTTATTTAAATATTTTCACATTTTGTCTATTCTGTTCGTTCCTTTCAATGAACGATTAATCTCCAATTTACTCTTTATGTCTTTCTAATTTTTAGAACTAAAAAAATAAAAAGTTGAATCGAAATTAAAATTAATTTATATTAGTAGAAATAGACATTAAGCAACCCTAGATGACAAATATTATTGTGTACCATTAATTTGTAATTATAATTTTGTACTAATTATATTATTGATACCTTCTTTACACAATTCAAAATAAATAGTTCGGAGGCTCAATATATAGCCTCCAAACGATCAATAATATTGTGCAATAATATCGTCTAGAGTTTAGAGACCGTTTTAGAAAAGGATAAAAAAATAAGATCGAGAATTAAAAAAAATTAATCTACATTGGCAGAAAGTTAATTTACGTACTTATATGAACAATAACAGTAGCCAATTAAGGAGTAAGCGTAGAAATCGACCAATCATAGTTGATTATCTTTCTTACATTCGACTATAATTGGTTGATTTCTATACTTCTTATCCACTGTAATCCACTATAATCCACTATAATCCACTTCTTAATCCTATTTTGCTTATTGTGAATTGCCTTAGCGTATAACAGATCCTATAACAGAATCTAGCCATGTTAAATTTTTAATTGACCCGTCGTTTTTGTCACTGTTAATAAGTTGGAACAAGCATGTATAAAAGAGACATTATATACATATCTTCTTCTTCTCATTCTCATTTTGACAAAATTGCTCGTGGCCGAACTCTGTTATAGGGTTTCTAATCTACAATGGATATTAAAAACAGCTTCTAGATGACAAATATTATTGTACAATTATTGTACAATTATTTATTATTGATGCCTCCTTTAAACAATAAAAAATAAATATCAATATAATCTTCAAATGATCAATAATTTTGTGCAATATCAAATATTGTGTAATAATATTGATTACTAGGGGCCGCTTTAGTACTTTCTAAATTTCTCGGAGTAAAATTTCACTCCAAAAAAAAAAGGAGTTAAAACATTGCCACTATTAAAGTGAGATTCACTAAAAAAAAAAAGACGAAAATCTATCACTCTTATTCAAAAGTACAAATTTTTTTTCAATAGTGGCAGTATTTTAACTCTTTTGGAGTGAGATTTCACTACAAGAAATTTAGAAAGTAACATTGCGCGCAATGCTTTTTTTAGCGTTTAGTGGTGACCACACCACAATTGCAACCAAATGCGCAAATAAACTGTTGGATTTAGAGTGTAAATAATCGAATGTAGGAAGCACAACTAAGAAAGTACCTACAGTGTGGCATGTGCAACGCCAGAGAAAGATTTCGCTCAAATGTTCGCGGTATCTCGGAAGGAAAGGAGATAAGAAAGGATTTTTATCGCGGCGCGCGTAACGATATATCGGGCACGGTATTAGATTGCCGACGATAATTCTCGCGGTTACGCATGTGTCTGCGCTTTCATGAGTACGTTGCGTTTCCCGAGCGATAAATCGCGAAGGCGCGCGGGAATCCGCATGACGTTATCTACGTACAGGAGAGTTAGATAAAATGCGCGGTCGCGCCGGCACGCGCGCGCGTGATTACAGCGGTTCCAAATTTTCAAAGCAACCTTGACGACGGAACAACATAAGTTTTTCGGTCGGCTGACTCAGAGAAGTGCCATTCTCGTTGTCGAGGAACATGACACAATCGTCTTCTTGGAGCTCGTTGCGCGATTCAGGGCTGGCTCGAGGTACCTTCGGGCCCCTCCCCCGAACGGTCCCGATTTTTTGAAAAGAGAGACGATCAGGAATGTCGACGAAACGGGGTCATGGCTGTTTTCAAACCTGAGCGTATTTCGATAGACGGTCCTCTCTCGAAGAAAAGTGTCTCTTTATTCCAGAAATAACATTCTGTGATAACAAAAAGCATTTGTCGGCGTATGATTAAGTAACAATATGACAAATACTTGTAGTCTGCAATCTTAATAACGTTGCCATGTTAGAGAGACATTAAGGATATATCAGGTGTATAATCTCTACAAAAATAAATGACTGGAAATTTGTACTTTCCGTATAAAAATGAACGTTCTATGCGCGCGAAGTAGTTCGATAAAGTCAATATTTACATTTAATTATAGTCTTGTAGTTCAAATAAAAATTTTCTCATTTTATTTGAATTATTTTTTAAAAAATGTCTGTTTCTTATTGAAATAATTTTTGATCCAAATTCTTTGTCGCCAAATTTTTTATATTTATACTTTTAAATTTAGAAAAATCTAAGTAGTTATCAACTTGATAACTTTTTCATTTTGTTAAAAAAATATGTTTAACATATTTTTAAATACAAATAGCAGTATTAACGATCATAGACATTTTTGAATTTTTATTATCAAATATTCGTACATGTAATGAAACATTTTTCTTTCTGATTGCCTCCATAGTATTATGATTTTAACATCAATAATGTTTATTTCTAGCAATGTAGATTAATCTCGGTTCAACTTATTCTTCTTTCTCTAATTTAAGAATTAGAGAGAGAAAAGGATAAAAAAATAAGTTGAACCGAGATTAATCTTAAAGTCGTATTCGATATATGTACTGCGATACCGAAAATCTATAATTTACGTTACATACGCTATAGATTTTCAGTAGTGGCGGCATATATGTATATCGGAAAATGGTCAAAATTAATTTCATCTGCACAGAAACGGACATACGTAGTAAAAATTTGTAAAAAATAATATTTAAATAACGCTAAAATAAAACAACGTCGGAAAGTCTTGTCTAAATGGCTCCTTGGAAGAAGCCTAACATCGTTCCGATTCTATACGCGTACGTGCGTACCGCGTTATCACATGACATTGCGCGAACGTCGTCGAGGTTTTGACCCTCGGCTAACTTCGGATCGGCTCGGAAGTGGCACAGTTCCGGGCGCCGTCGGCAGCAGCAGCACCTGCCGATTCGGCGCACTGTTCGTACGACGCTACATCTCTCGGCGGTGCGTGGAAGCAACAGCTGACCCGCGGCACACAGTAGCTCTCTCGCCTCCTAGAGCGGCACTTCGTCACTTTCGCACTCCGTGCGAAAAACCCCCCCGAACGTACGAGCGGTGGAGGAGTCGCGTCGCCATCTTTAGGCACGGTTGTACCCATCCGGCCGCCGTCTCCGTCGACGTCATCGCTGTCGCCGTCGCTGGTCGTCGACGACAATCGTAACACATTACTCTGGAAGCGCCGTGTGCGCCTCCGTGGACGCGACACGACGCGAGGTGCCGGGTAAACGCGAAGCGATCTCATCGCCGTGAGCGAGCTCGAGTATATCGACTGTGCCGCCCCGTTTGTCGCGCGTTCGATTTACATTAACGTGCCGGGGTGCAAGAGAAGAACAAGGTGCGCGTCCACGAGTAGTATCCTCATACGACGAGACGTCTATTCCGTTCTCGTCTCTCTCTCCGCACGAACATCACGAGGAGGAGCAACGGCAATCCGCGAGGGACGTGGTGAGGACTAGGTGAGTGAATACGAGAGCAAAAGATAAACGGTTCGGTCGGTCGGTCGATCGGTCGGTCAGGACGTCGGCGTGCCGTTTACAAGCCGCTGCCGTCGCGTCACGTAGAGTCGGTGAGTGCGATTTCGCTCTCCTTCGTGCTCGTTTCGTGTGCAAGTGAAACTTGGTGCTGTGTGACTTTTACCCGTTTACGGGGGCAGGAGGGCGAGATACTTGATTGCTCTGGTCAAAACGGAGCAGGTTGAATAGACGGGAGTTTCGAGGTCGAACCGACGGACGGACCGTGTGTTTTACGCGAGAGAAAGGAGAGAGAGGGAGGAGAGACACGGCACCCCGCCGCCGTCGCCACCGCCAAACAACGACGACAAACTGGTACAATTGACAGAGAAGATGGCGCGAGCCGCGGACGAGGATCGCTGCTGACCCATTTTTTTCCGACGCGGCAAATCTCTCTCAGGGAGTACGGGAGCCTCTCGCGAAAAGACGACGACGACGACGACGGAGAAGAAATCTCTCCCTCGCCTTCCTCCCCCCCTCTCTCCGGCTCTCACTCGGTCTCGCTTAATGTGGGCGAGCGCTGTTCGCGGAGTGTGGTGACGTTCGCCGGGAGGAATATACTCGGCGACAGCCAGGGAAGGAAGCCGAGAGAGAGAGAGAGAGAGAGAGAGAGAGAGAGAGAGAGAGGGACAGAGCGAGAAAGGAAAGGGTGCCGCTCTCTCGCGTCGCGCTCGCGCTTCTCTTACCCCCCTTGCGTGTGTGTGTTTTGTGTGTTTTTTCTACCGTGTGATAATATACTCGCGCGAAGTGTGCGTGTTGTAACCCATCTCCGTCTCTCTTTCCCACGATCACCTCTTTTGAGGTGATTGACGGTGTCCACTCCGTGTATAAAAAAAAAGTATCCGCGCGCGCGGAGTTCTCCCCCGAAGACCAGGATCAGATCCCAGGAGCTCGTTTTCTAGAAGCGAGGAGAAGAACGGGGAGAGAGAGAGAGAGAGAGAGAGAGAGACTCTCCGTCTTCGTTAACAACATTGTCAGTGCGCGAAAGCGTGTCGCGTGACCCGCGGGACGCTACGTTACGCGGGAGAGACGTCTGGAGCATCGACAGCGCGTGTTAGAAGGTAGCAAAAATTCTGAGAAAACCGGAGCTCACCGGAGCCCTGGCAGGCTCATCGGCGGCTGCGGACGCGGACGCACGCCGACGAAGACGTAGTAGCCCTCTGGATTACCTGAGGCACAAGGCCCGTGAAGCTGCCCGTGAAGCTGCCTTGGCAGACACGGGCACCAGCGCGGCATCTAAAATGGGTAACAATGCCGCGACCGCTAACAAGAAGGTCGACGCCGCCGAGAGCGTCAAGGAGTTCCTCGATAAAGCGAAGAAGGAGTTCGAGGACAAGTGGAAGAAGAATCCGACCAATACCGCCGCCTTGGACGATTTCGAACGTATCAAGACCCTCGGCACCGGTTCGTTCGGTCGCGTGATGATCGTTCAGCACAAACCCACTAAAGAATACTACGCCATGAAGATACTCGATAAGCAAAAGGTCGTAAAGCTGAAACAGGTCGAGCATACGCTCAACGAAAAGAGGATACTGCAAGCTATCAGTTTTCCATTCCTCGTATCGTTGCGTTTTCACTTCAAGGACAACTCTTACCTGTACATGGTGCTGGAATACGTGCCCGGTGGCGAGATGTTCAGCCACCTGCGCAAGGTCGGCCGCTTCTCCGAGCCGCACTCGCGTTTCTACGCGGCTCAGATCGTCCTCGCGTTCGAGTACCTGCACTACCTCGACCTCATCTATCGGGACCTGAAACCGGAGAATCTGCTAATCGACTCGCAGGGCTACCTCAAGGTCACCGATTTCGGCTTCGCCAAGAGAGTGCAGGGACGAACGTGGACTCTGTGCGGCACGCCGGAGTATCTGGCGCCCGAGATCATTCTCAGCAAGGGTTACAACAAGGCGGTGGACTGGTGGGCACTGGGCGTGCTGGTCTACGAGATGGCCGCCGGCTATCCACCATTCTTCGCCGATCAGCCGATTCAGATTTACGAGAAGATCGTGAGCGGCAAGCCGCGCTTCCCATCGCACTTCGGCTCCGACCTCAAGGATCTACTGCGCAATCTGCTGCAGGTCGACCTCACCAAGAGGTACGGCAACCTCAAGGCGGGCGTAAACGACATCAAGGGCCACAAGTGGTTCGCCAGTACCGACTGGATAGCCGTCTTCCAGAAGCGAATAGAAGCGCCGTTCATACCGCGCTGCAAGGGACCAGGCGACACCAGCAATTTCGACGATTACGAGGAGGAGACCTTGAGGATCTCGCTGACGGAAAAGTGCGCCAAGGAATTCGCCGAGTTTTGAACGCTGCGCCAGGTCGGCAAGTTGCTCGCAACCGGAGGTGGTGGATACGCACGTCGTGTCGCGCCTCATCGTCGGGCTGACGTGGCACGGCGCTCCTTCGTCATCGTTCGCCGTCATCGCCGTCATCGCCGTCGTCACGTTGGTGATTCGCTTTTTTTGCGCGAGAGAGAGAGAGAGAGAGAGAGAGAGAGAGAGAGAGAGAGAGAGAGAAAAGAGTGCATCTGTGTGTGTCAGCGCGCGCATCCGCGTGTAATATATGAAAGCTGTTGACTAGGCGAAAAACGGAGTGAAGTTTTTTTTCTTTGTGGAAAAGTTTCTCGTAAGCGATACACTAGGAGGACACTCTTTCAGGAGGGTGTGTTATTTTCGAGGGGGAGAGAAAGAGAGATAGAGAGGAAGAGAGAAGTATATATGAAGGAGCACGTGGCAATTGGCGCGTCTTTTTTTGTTGCGTCTCGCGACCGAACTCGCTAGACAAAAAGTAGAAAAGGAAAGAGAGAAAACGCGGACACGGATTGAGATATATGGGACGTTTACACGCTGGCGTTCAAGCGTCCAAAAATTATATAAACACGTACACACACACACACACACACACACACACACACACACACACACACACA